GTCCTAATTTCAAGTTCCGGCGAAATACATTTTTTTACTAGAAATTTTCAAACGTTTCCATATATGGTAATTGGACCAAATATGATAAATTGATTGGACCATATATGGTAAATTGATCAACTTTTGGGTATGTAGTAGGTCGAAAAGTAATCGAAACAAAACCTTAATAACTGATTTCAAATTTTTGATAGTTTTTAAGAAAATTTTAAGCAAATTCTTCTGAATATATACGTATTAACGTTTCATTTCAAATTACGACAAGTTACCTAGCCCTCCAAGAAAATTATATATACAACATAGATATCAGCAACAGGACTTTTACTATATGGATGGTTTAGCTCATATTATGGCTCATAATATAGAAATCAATTAATTTTTTTGGAATTTACAATTGTAACTCTTATTACTAAAACAATGAAGTAAAAAATTTTCCGGGAACATTTGGAATTGACAAAAAATCACAAAATTCTTATCGAATTTATTAAACGATTTCTGTTTGTCAACGGAAATGGCTGACGAAAGTTTCACGGAAATTGTATCCCAGAAACTGAATCTCCAATAAGAACCTTTTTATGATATTGTGCAAAAGTTGACATTTAACCAGAAAATACAATAATTTGCGATCTTTTATGCGTTGACTGTATAAGAGTTTTTTTTAGCCAATATCCGTGAAATATCAATTATTTTTAATTTAAATGCAATTTTCTTTTTCTTTCAATTTGAAAGTGAGATTTTCGAAAATTAAAAAAATAAAAATAGTAAAGTAAAAACTTAGATATAGAAATCAAATAAATAAAGACCACAAAATAAATAAAAATAAAAAAAAACAAAATAAAATGCGAACTTTCACGCTAAATATTCTCTCTAAAAAATAAGTAAAAGTCCTCCTAATCATTTATTTAAACTAAACATATTCTTTTTATTTTTTCATAGTACATACATATCGAAAAATGATTCATGAATTTTATACGAAAGTATACGTAAGTAACTCTTAAATATAATATTATAAAAATTGAGTATATTTTCCATATTGCCCATAGTATAACAAAAGTATGAGTATTACAGAGGCACATATACATTATAACAAAAAAAAAAAGTTATAAAAATAATTTTCTTTCTAAACGGCAACAACAATAAAAAAAAAGCGAAAACAATAAACAGAATATAAAATTAAACAAATAAAAAATTAGATTTCACTTAAAAAATCTTTAAAATTACGATTTGCGAATAATTTATAATGATTATACAAAATATTTCTATATTTAAAGACCTACTGAATACACAAGTACATACCATTTGTATATGAAATGCATATACCGGTTATTCATTCATTTATTTATTCATTCATTTATTCGTTCATTTAATCGTTCATTTATTCATGTATTCTTGATAATGTATGACATTATACGAATTAAAATTGCAAATAAAATTATGTAAAATGCATAAATTTTTTTTATTTTTAATTCTTTAAAAATTTTGTATGTAAAATCTTTGTATGTAAGATCTTCGTATAATTTTAATTTTATTAATTGCACTTTATTTTTAATTTTTTACATTTTTTTTTTTCAAAATTTTCAAAATGAATTTTTATTTAAATAAGTCTGAATTCACTATGAAATTAAAAATCTTATAATTATTATATGATTATTAAGAGGTCCATCTGAAAAGGACGAGAGGGGCACGTTTATGCCAGGAGGAGGACGAAACCATGGAACATTTATTGTGTGAATGCAAAGCAGTAATTGCTCGCCTACGAGTGGAATGCTTCGTGGGCGGCTTTGTGGCTGCGTGGCTTAATGTGGCTGTTATACTGCAGTTTGCCAGGGGCCTGGTTATAGGGCTAATGTAGATGGGGATGGGAATCACAAAAGATCCTAGGGTCGACCTGAGAATGGCTTAAGGGTATCGATCCCCGAGATTGAAAAAAAAAAAGAGGTCCTGTTAAAAAATTTTGAGAACGTTAAGAGAGTAATAATATGCTAATAGGCTTATGGAACTGCAGTCACTAAATAATTTGAAAATTTTGATGAACACTTTCTTATAATGTGCTTTCCTAAATAATTCGATAGTTAAAAAATCTCAAAAGGTGTTGTATTGAAATAATTTCCAAAGACTCATCTGGAATTTCTTAAGATAAAACGTTAAATATTTACTACAATTTGTTTACGTTAATTGAGTCTGAATTGAGAAGCCCAACCAAATAATAGGAAAAATTAATCTGCAACCAAAACTTTTATCATAGTGGCATTTTATCCATTCACATATAAGTACATATCACCAGTTGTGTGTATATATTCATAACATGTGATGTGTCCATGTAATTATAATTGTGAATCCACTGTATGAAGTTAAGGAATGTTGTGTTTACTTAAATTCTAACAGCTTCTTATACAGTTCTTATTATACATTAGATTATATTCTTATTATACTTCTTATTATACAGTAGGTTTTTTTTTTAGTAATGACATCTAAGTGAGAATTAGCAACATTTCATTATATACTAACTTAAAGTCAGAGAGAAAGAGAATTGCAAGAAGAATGAAATATTTGTATAATACAATCTCTATGGTTAAGGAATTCTAATGAAGTCAAGGAAAATCTCGAAAATAAATATTTTATATTTCAATTATTACGCGTATATGTATATAATACAATTATTATTTGCGTATGTAAATATACAAAGTGTACACTAATTATACAATATTGCCATCTTCATACACAAATGTCAAATTTATAAAGAAAATACTTTTGCATTTCAATTAAAAATTTCTCGCATTGTCATTTTTTTTTTTTTTTTTTCAGTTTTTTATTATTATTACATTAGAATGGCGATTAAAAGAAATTTATACAAAGAAAGAAAAAAAAAATTACTAGGTATATTATCAGAAAAGTAATGTTAATTTTTTATTTTTTAACATTTTATTACTTTTATTTTTTTATTTTTCTTGTTTTTAGATAATATTTGAGGTCTTTGCCACTTTAACAGTGAGTAAAAAATTTAATAAAAACAATAAAAAAAAAATATCACGTTTTTCGTTTTTTTAAATCCGATGAAAGTATGACATTGTATATCGAATTCGAGTCTCTAATAATGTAATAATAATTTAAGAAAACAGTGAGAGTATCTGGATTTTCTTATTCCATTTCTAACTAGTTTGGTTAGTTTTAAAATTAAAAGTGGTAAAATTAATAAAAAAAAAAAATGTAAAAATGTAAAAAATGACAATGGTTTTTCTCTTTTTTTTTTCTTGCCTTAAACGTACTCGTACCTTCTCGTCTCACCTTTTTATTATTAATTTATTTATTTTTCTTTTACATTGCAATTTTATTAACATTTTTATTTTTTTCATTTACAAAATTTCCATTATAATCGCGATGACATTGCAACCCAAAATGTTATAAGTATATAGAAAAAATTTTCAAATTATTAAATGAAAAAAAAAAAAAATGGCATTAAAATGAAAAATTCAAGTTCGTGTTTTAAAGGTCATTAAGTATAAGATTTTTATAATTGACAAAAAAAAAAGAAAATAAATGAAAATTAAATAAAATTTGACATTAAAATAAAAAAAAAAAAAACGAAACTATGTATGCGGTTTAGTTTTTTTTTTCTCCATTTTATTTTATTTTCTTCAATTTATTAATTTATGGATGAGGACTTTCATTTATATACGTAAATGAAATTTCTCTTGTTATTTTCCAAAAATTTTATACATAAATTTAATTTTGTTCTGTTTTCAATTTTTCTGTTGTCTTGAGAAATAATTCAAAATAGCCATAAGGATTGTAATTGAAATGTAAAATGACAAGTGTATTTTATATATGATGACATTTAATTGATTAAAGATTACATTTTTATTAAATGTATATATGTAAGCATACCTGTAGTTAATAACGAATGATGACAACACTATTGTGATTCATAAATATGCAATACAAAGCAATGTTATAAAGTATAAAAACCTGCATCGACTGTGTTGTACAAGTTAACAAAAAAAAATTATTCTCTTTAAAATACTTTTTTCTTGGAATTTATTAAATTGTGAAAAATTCATTAACAAAAATAAATGCACAATATACATATAGATACATAAGTGAATTTTTATTAAAGTAGGTTATAAATAATGCACTTTAAGTAGAGAAAATAAAAATAACTATTATGAGTTGAAAAAGCAACAATGTATAAAATTAATTAATAAATAATTTCTCTTAAACATGAAAATTAACTATTAAATTTGCTTTTCAAATATAAATAGGTATAATTAATAGCTTGATTAATTTTATAATGGGTTTTGGTACTGGTTATAATCGAAATATGAATAACGCCTTTAAATCTGTATTCAATGCGTGTTTAGAAATCACTCGAAGAAAAGAATGTATGCAATACGATTAAAATTATTCACAACAAATATATTGTTTTAGGCGAAGGAGGATTAAATGGTAGCTCATCTCTTTTGCTGATTTTGGACATTAGAACCAAGGGTGAGGCAAAAATTACTTGGATCATATTTATTTTGAATTCAAATTTTATAGAAATATCAATTGATTTTGTAAAAAGTTCGGACTTGTGCTTAAGAAGCTATTTTCACACAGTTGAATTAACAAAGTGTGAAATTATCAAATTAGGTGGAATCCTTTATTTGTTTCATAAAGATTATGATTTAATCAAAATATTTTCAAGAAGTTTGTAGTTTAATAAATTAAATATGTACCTTGCAGGAACTACAAAGCATTTAAAAAAATTCAAGTTCTTTGCATATGGTCGGTCTTAGTTGAAATATAAATCTTGACGCTTTTCAAAATTTTTTAGTATGTCTAAAGATGTTTTATTCACATAGATACATAAATATATATGTCATATGTATGCGAGCTAATCAAATTAAAATCGATAATTAAAAATTGTTTGTTTATATAAAACAAGCATAAGCACAAAATACAAACAAGCATATATAATCACACAACAAATTTACTTTTTGTTAAAATAAAAACATTGAACTTACCATATCTTCTATGTGATTCACCTTCTTCATTTGCTTCACTATATGCTCTTAATAAAGCACTTTGTGTAACTGATGGATCTAATGTTGCTGGAAATCGACTTTGTCTACCTCTTCTTGTTGTTCCACCAGCATTCCAATTTGAAAACATTCTTGCAACTGCCGCACTTTTTTTTGTAAGAAAAACATTTATTTTAATAATTTTTTATTATTAATTACTTATAATTATTAAGGTATTTAATAAATTTTTAATTATGTGACATTTAGTAAATAATGATTTAATGAAAAATTATATTTTATTTTTAAAAAAAATTACCTTGGATATGGTGAATTATTCGGTCCTATACAATTAATATCATCTGTTAAAGCATCTCCACTCAAATATTTTAGACTAGGTTTATTACTACATTTTTCATGTGTTGGATAATTTGACCATAATGCAGCATTTACAATAATAATTTGTTGATATAATATTGTTAAAAATATTGTTAGAAAAATCTATAATAAGAAAAATATTAAAAGAAAAAAAATTGTATAAAAAATAATATCAAAAGTATTGCTTGTTTCACTGCGATTCAGTAAGAACAATTAAATTTAATATTTAGACAAATTATTCTAGGGAAAATTTAGTTTATGATAACAAAGTTATTTGAATTATTTTCTTACATTTCATGAAAGGCATGTATTTTATAAGCACTGCTTAAGCCGCATATAAATTCTCTATGTACCTTCCCCTTTTCTGAATAATGAATTCTGTGGCTCATGTTTATTAATACATACTCGTAGTTGGAAATATAGATATTATTCAATATCAACTCTTAAAGTAATATCGAAATTTTCACTATATTGTTGAAATTCTTATGTAAACTTTAACAAATCGCAGACAAATTTACATAATAAATTGTAACATAAAACTAACTGAGCCTCAACAAAAAAAATTCTTTAACAATTCAATACGTAATTTTCTTTTGAATTTTCTCTTAATGGTTACATGTTTAAATATAATTTTCTATATATAATATAATAATATTAAAAAAAATCCCTTGTAAGATCACCTATGTATGTGTGTATAGGTAGATCTATAGTTTGTATTCTTTTTGTGGTCTCATTTGATACAAAAATCGCATAATAAATTTTTATCACTCGTGTATTTCTTAAAACAAATTTAAAATTTCAATAAATTCATTGATTTTTTTTTTTTGAATACAAAATTGAGTTTTGTTTCCTGAATAAGTTTTTAGCACAAAAAGAAATCGAAAAAAAAAATGCTTATTTATTTCACTATGTTCGACCCGTCGTCTGTGTGTCTGTTTGAAAAGTTTCTACACTCTTTAAGTTAAACAGTTGGAATTTTTTAGGAATCTAGGTTTTTACTAGAAATTTACGGAAAAAAATATATACCACCCCCCCCCCCCCCCCAAAAGGTTCCAAAAATTGAATTTTTGTTATCAAAAACTTTTTTTTTAACTTTGAAAACACAGAACAAAACAACTACCAGCTTCTTCTACCATGACACAGCAAAGTAAAACTTTACAAAACGAAACCCCATTAAAATTAACGTCTATATTTAAAACCCGAATTTTTTTTTTCAAATTTTTAATATCACTATCCTCCTACTAGACGATAAGTTGTAGAAGTCTAATAGTTATTTAATAAACAATTTATTTCGTTGTCACCTCTTGAAATTTATAAAATTTGAATTTTCGGCACATATATTTTCAAAACTGTAAATCGCTTACTAAACCTCAATTGTTCAAGGGAAAAGTGCTACTTTACAAATCATTGGTTTGATCCGAATTTACTGTTCTATAGTTTTATTCTTTTCTGATATTTTACTTACAATAAATAATTAGGTAAAGGTGTGTACTCTTATATTTCTTTTAAAATTCCTCATACTATATTATTATCATTAACATTCTACTAATGGCTTATATACACACATATTATATAGTTCATATTACGTTAAAAATTACATAGTGTTGCTTTTGCATGCGAATCGAATGTATTTATTAATATAGATACAAGATAATTTCCGATTTTTATTAGTTGTATGTATATATATGTATAGCCTTAAGGTTCAACAAAGTTCAATTCTTAAATTTTAATATTTTTAATTTTTATAAAAATCAATAGTAAATAAATATACATATTATAACATTTTTTTTCACTTTGTTTCCGATATACAAGCCGTTAGGTAATCTTAAAGTAAAGAAATTAAATAAAAATAAGAAAAAACGAGTTCAGTCAGATCAAAAAGGAAAAAAAAATAAAAATCTTTCAAATTTTAAATTCTATATATATACACATACATATTTATTTCCTCTTTGCATACTCATTCTCAATTCATTCATATGGTCTGTGTTTTAGCAGTTTATGTAAGTTTGATAAAATAAAAATTAAAATTTTAAAACGTAAGAAATTTTGATCTTGTTTTAAAATTCAAAACGCAAGCATGAAACTTATCTATTAAGAATAACATACAGTCGAACCTGTTTATAAGCAACTCATATAAGAGCATAACTCCTTGATTAGCAAAACAAAATTGATTTTACACATTTTATTAAATTTTTTGTTCGTAATTTACAAGCTTATAAATACATTGGTTATACAAATGCAAAAATTTTTCTTCTTTTAATTTCAATGAAAATTTAATTCTGACATTATACAGTTGTCATAAATAATACTTCCATATCAGCTTAAACAAAATTATCTACTCAATATACAATTTCATTTGTATATGTCTTGGGAATTTTTCTCAAACTACGTACATATAAAATCAAACGAAAACTGAGCTATCGTTCGTCTGACTGTATTTAATAAATAATGCATTTTTAATTGAGTTTTTTTTATGATGATAACAAATCTGATAAACTGTAAATATTGAAATATTAAACTTTTTAATAAAATATTTTTTAAATGTTCACGTCGTTTTAGTTATTTCTTATTTAAAATATTTAATACAGAACAGGTTCATTTAATTTAACTCATCTTTTAAATAATTTTTATATAAACAGATATATATACACGTATATATGTAAACAGTATGAGAAATATACATATATGTACACGCGGTCAAATCTATATGCATGTACAAATATTTTAATTTGTTCTACTTTATTTCCAATATTAAAAATTTTTGATAACGTTCTTTTCGTTTTTTTGCCATCTACACCCATGAAATTTGAAATTTAACTCGAATATATCCATACTTACATATTATATATAATATATGTATATAGGTATGTATGTGTATATACGTACTCATTTACAAAAATATAAGTTGTAAGATTAAGCATAAAGCAATTATGGTTTTAGATTTTACCACATCAGGAGATTTATGACTTTTATTAAAATTTTATCAATATCATTCATTAATTTTTAATCACTATAAACTAGAACCTATACTCGTATTTATATTCAAACATAATGCACGATTGTGGCAAAAATGTAATAACTGAAAAAAAAAAAGTTTCTGAAAAAATAGATTACGTACTAATTGTGTTATATTTTCAATTGAAAAAATATCTTTTGATTCATTTCCTTCCATAAGTCTTACTTTTATCTTAAAAAAAATACCTAAAAGAAATCTATGGTGAAAAATAGAGTGATTAAATGGTGAGCTAATTTCACTATTGATTCATATTAAATTTACTCGAACTTCTTCCAAACAGACAAAATTCATTCTTTAAAGTTTGAATTTTAAAATTTTTAAAAACTTAATGTACAAATTAAATGTATATACAGTATTGAACATGGTCTCAATACAAAAGTTTTGTCTACTCATGAGGGCCTACATAATTGCATATAGCAGTGCACTTTGTTATGAGACACCCTATATAAAGAGCTTTTAAAACTTTGTGGTATTAAAAACAACTGAATTCTCAAAAACACCCTATATTTTTAGATTTTAAGATATTCAAGATCTATATAAAATGTTAATTTCAACTTGTTTTTGGAATTATTCTTAAAAAAAATGCCATATTATAATTCTACAACAATATTTTTTTTGTGTCAAAAATTCCATACACACCATATCAATTACGATATATCTAACATACCGCAAATATCTATAAAATATTCTATAAATGATTAATGTAATTAATTAATATAAAAGTGAAATTGCCATAAATTATATTTTTTTTTGTGTTTTAATCCTAAAAACGTTCAAATATCTATTTCTTTCCTTTCATATAATCATCTTAATTCTAAATATGGTCTTTATACCTACTCAATAAATTATTTTGCTATAAGGAAATTTTAATTAAAGACGCTAACAACGTAATTTTTTCCAAAAATTTTTTAATAATTTTTTTAAAAAAGTTTTTTTTTTATATTGAAAACTTATATTACGTTACCGTATATTCATTAATAAAATATGAAATTTTTATATAATATAATTATTTATATATATACACATGAACAGGCTGTATCAGAGGCGGGACAAGAGGGCCATTTGCCCTGAGCCCCACTATTTGCGGTGCCTCGAATTAATAACTCAATTTTTTAAATAGAATATTTCAATTGGAGAATATGCCTTCAATGAAAAGAGTGTTAAATATTTTCATTTGTACAAAAATCACAATGAAATAATTCACCATGAAAAAAAGTTGAATTACTAAAATCTTTTATCATTAACATTGTCATATGACATGATCGACTAAATGGACTAGTAACTATTATAATTATAAAAGAGCACATTCTTTAGATTATTCGGACATTTATTATTAAATTTACTGATATGAAATGGAGTAAAGCTTTTGTCCGATAATTAAAAATAATATTAAATAAACTAATCATTATAAGATATTGCTTTTCTTCTGTTTTTTATGCATTGTATTTGAAAAATTTCAGGGCCTTTAAATATCAGTTGCCCCAGGCCTCGCATTATCTCCGAAAGCCCCTGCATATGTTTATAACTGTTAATTATATAATAATCAGATTTTTTGAAAATTTAAAAGAAACAATCATGAAAAAAGCATATAAAAATTTCAAGCCCTTTAAATATCAGTTGCCCTAGGCCTCGCATTATCTCCGAAAGCCCCTGCATATGTTTATAACTGTTAATTATATAATAATCAGATTTTTTGAAAATTTAAAAGAAATAATCATGAAAAATACATGTAAAAATTTCAAGCTTTTAAAATATCAGTTGCCCCAGGCCTCGCGTTATCTCCGAAAGCCCCTGCATATGTTTATAACTGTTAATTATATAATAATCAGATTTTTTTTGAAAATTTAAAAGAAACAATCATGAAAATTGTATATTGTATAAAAAAATAAAAGCAAAAAAATATTTTTTTTTTTTAATTTCCCTTAAATTTCCCTTACTTTCATTACTTTCATCAGAATAATTTATTAATTTATTAATGTATGTGCGAAAATATTTGAAAAATTTAGAAAATTTTTCAATAACAATTCTTTATAATGCAAGTAAAATGAATTTTTTGTTTCATAATTATTTCAAATATTAATAATACTTAAGTATATAGAATGAATGA